TGTGGTCTATCTTTATGAATGTTTTAGGTAAGCTTGAGAAGAACGTGTATTCTGCTGGTGTTCGATGAACTGGGCTATAGCTGTCGATAACATTTAGTTGATCAGTAATACTGTTGAGTACGGCCATGTCCTTACTGATTTTGAAAGAACAGATTCAACAGGCACAAAATCAATTTGCACCTCACTTATTCTCGTGTTCTCTTGTTGGGTGTGTATACATTAAGGAATATGTCTCTTTGGAGTATTGAACCTTTTATCATTATGTAACAGTATTTTTATCCCAAATGATGTTTCCTGATCTAATGTCTTATTTTGTGCTTTTTAATAGATTACTGTTAGAATGTATAACACTTTCTCCATCCATTTATTCTTTTAAAATAAATAATAAACTATATTTTAAGAGCAGTTTTAGGTTCATAGCAAAACATCTCTTCACTTTTAATCTATACACGTTTCTAAATTTAAAGTGGGTTTCTTGTGGGCAACATCTTGTTTTATAATCCACTCTAACAAAATCTGTCTTTTGTGTACTTAGATCAACAATTAAAGGTGATTATTGACATAGTTGGATTAATATCCACCATATTTGTTACTGGTTTTTATTTCTTGCACTTGTTCTATGTTTTTTCTTTTTTGTACATACTTTGTCTGCATGTTATTGTTTTAATTGAACAGTTTATATGATTCTATTTTTCTTTTTTACAATATCAATTATAATTTTTTTTACTGTGTTCAGTGGTTTCCTTGGATTTTGCAATATACATTAAAAAGTAATCCACATACACTTTCAATAACACTATACCACTATAAGTGGTTGTACAAGAATCTTATAATAAAAAAAAAAACTGTCTTTAATTCTTCCTTACTGTTCTTTATATCATTGGTGTCATTCATTTCATGCTTATGTGATACATATGTATATATGTGCATACACATATGTGATATAGTTTGGCTATGTCCCAACCCAAATCTCACCTTGAATTGTATTTTTCATAATCCCCTCATGGGAGGAATCCAGTGGGAGGTAATTGAATCATGGGGGTACTTACCTCCATGCTGTTCTTGTGATCGTGAGCGAATTCTCACGAGATCTGACGGTTTCATAACCCCCTATTGCTCGACACTTCTCCATCCTGCCGTCCCGTGAAGAAAGATGTGTTTGCTTCCCCTTCCACCATGATTGTAAATTTCCTGAGGCCTCCCCAGCTATGCCGAACCATGAGTCAATTAAACCTCTTTCCTTTATAAATTACCCAGTCTTGGGTATGTCTTTATTACCAGTGTGAGAACAGACTAATACTATATATATCTGCATATACAAATATGTATATATAATTGAATACATTGTTATTATTTTGAACACTATTATTAAATCAATTAAGAATTAAAAAAATAAAAGTTGTAATTTTACCTTCACTTAGTTATTCTTAAATGCTCTTCCTTTCTTTCTATAGATCTGAGTTTGGAACCTTTCTTCTTCTTCCTCTCCTTGATGTTAAAAAAATGTCTTTTAACATTTCTTGCAAGGCAGATACACTGGTAACAAATCCCATCAATTTTTGGCTAAAATGTATATGTCTCCTTCACTTTTGAAGAATAATTTAACAGACAGAATTCTGGTTGGCTGGTTGGCGTTTTTGTTTTTCAAATATATCAACTGTTCAAATATTTAACTCAACTTTATGTTTTCGTAGTTTCTGAGAAGAAGTTTAATGTAATTCTTGTCCTCATTTCTCTATAGATAAGGTGATTTTTCTCTGGCTTCTTTAAAGATTTTTTCTTTCTCTCTGATTTTCTAAAATCTGAATATGACATGCCTAGGTGTAGTTTTGCTTTCTTTGGGCATTTATTTTGCTTGGAATTTTCTGATCTCCTGCATCTGTGGTTTGGTGTCTGACATTAATTCATGAAAATTATCAGGCATTGTTGCTGCAAATATGTATTGCTTCTGTTTCTTTCTCCATTTTCTCTCCTGGTATTTTTGTTTGTATATGTCACATCTTTTGTGGTTTTCCCACAGTTCTTGGATATTCTGTTCTGTTTTGGTTTTGTTTTTTAGTTTTTCATTCTTCTTTTCAGTTTTAGATGTTTCTATTGTCACATCCTCCAGCTCAGAGATTGTTTCCCCAGCTATGTTAATCCCACTAAGGAGCCCAGCAATGGGATTCCTCATGTGTTTTAGAAATTTTTTTTTATCTTAAGCATCTTTTTATTCTTTCTGAGAATTTACATCTTTCTGCTTACATTGTTCATCTGTTATTTCATATTGTTAGCAGCAGCGAATCTGAATGGGTCTGCAACAACCTCAATACTTGCCCCCTAAGAAAAAAGAATTCGGCTGAGGGGCACAAGGCAGAGGCAGAGACTGAAGCAAATTTTAGAGCAGGAGTGAAAGTTTATTAAAAAGTTTTAGAGCAGGGACAAAAGGAAGTTAAGTTGTTATTTTACCTTTACTTAGAAGAGGGCTGAGGGGGTAACTTGAGACATCCAAGTACACAGTTTGACTTTTGACTTGGGGTTTTGTTAGCATGCTTGTGGGTTTTGCATCTCTTCTCCCCTGATTCTTCCCTTGGGTTGGGCTGTCTGCATGCACAGTGGCCTGCCAGCACTTGGAAGGGGCCGTGTATTTACTGAAGTTGCACACATGCTCATTTGAGTCATTTTTCCCTTACCTGTCAAGTGTTCCGAGAGGAAGATCATATACCAGTTAAACTTCGTCATTTTGCCTCTTAGGGTGCATGCTTGAGCCCACTTGCCCAACCCCTGAGATATTATCAGGAAGTTGCTGACCCCAGCTTCAGGTGTTTCCTATCTATTGGGAGACTGCCCTTCTCTGGTGCTGGCTGCAACCAATTACTGCTTTAGAGAGATAGTTGAACAACCACCTGCCCATCACCTAATGGTTGCCTGACCTTCCTGGTTGGGGAGGGGCCTCACCTGTCCTGCTCGTGTCTGCCTAACTACCTACTCTAACAATATTATCTCCTTTCTTTTTCAGTAAATCCGTTAGCATATTAATTATAGTTAATTTTTAAATTTCTTATCTGATAATTCCAACACTCCCGCCATATTTGACTCTGGTTCTGATGCTTGTTCAGTCTCTTCAAACCGTGTTTTTTGTGTTTTGGTGTGTCTTGTAATTTTTGGGGGGAAGGCCGATGATGGACTGGGTAAAAGTAACTGTGGTCAGTAGGCCTTTAGTAATGTAGTGGTTAGGTGTTGGAAGAGGAGAAACATTGAAACATTCTGTAGTTAGTTCTATGATCAAGCCTCAGTCTTTTGGTGAGCCTGCAATCCTGGACTGTGAACGTCACAAGTAAGTCTGTTTTGTTTTGTTTTTGGTTTCTCCTCCAGCAGATGGGATAGAACGACTGGGGGGCGCTGAAATTACGTATTTCCATTTGCCCAGGTGAGTCTAGAGAGAGCTGGAGTTGACTATTTCCCTTCCCCCAGGTAGATTAGACCTGGCTATAACCTGGCAGGTGAGGCTCTGCTAAAATAATTTCTCCTGAAGACAAGCCTTCTTAGAACAAAATGCTCTAGAGTATTACAAAATAATTCTGTTTGTCCTCCTCCTGCTGGGAGCATGAGAAAAATTTTCTCCATTATTCACTGTGAGAACTCGGTAGAATTTCTGGTGGTAAAACTCACAAAGGTGCCCCACTGCATGCCCCGCGCTATGGCTCAGTTCCCCCGGAGATTTTCTCTCTCAGGCTCGTCCATAATCAGCCTTCAGTGATTCATCAATTACAATTTAGGTTTTCCTACCGTGTTACTGGTTTCTATGAAAGTTTCTGTTCCTGGATTTCTGTTTGGGTAAAGTTGTGGTTCTCTGCCATTCTCTCTCTCCAATTTTGGGGGCAGTGACATATTCAGTGACTTCTTTTTTCTCATACTCTAAGAAGAGTTATTAATTTTTCAGTTTGTTTAACTTTTTACTTGCTGGGATGGAGTAACGACTGCTAAGCTCCTTACATGCTGGACAAGAAACCAGAAGTGCACCACTTTTCTTCATAACTGATTTTTACACCCAGGGAAACTTTTATGAAAATATTTTTTGTACCAAAGAAACATTTTCTAAAAATATCAGCAACTTTGGGTTTATTTTACTTTGTGTTGCTGCTGCCTGTTTTAATTTAACTTAATTTAGGAGAGCTAAGTAATTAAACATGAGGCCAAAGTACGTAAGAAAGTGGCAGTCTTTTATTGCAAATATGCACACACTCTCAGGGGAGGTTCTCTGGTCCTCAGGTGTGGGGGGGCCAGGGAAGTCCCGCCGGAGCTCTCCGGTGATGTTCTCCGGTCCACAAATGCCGGAGCCGAAGAAGTCACGCCGGCTCCTGCCGGCAGCGGACTTTTATGCATTGGTACTGGAAGGGGGAGGGCAGTGGGCGGGATAAGGGTGTGATAGGGGCGTCTCCATAGGCGTGGCCGGGTGAGTTTTGATCTCTTCGGATTGACATCACCTGGCGCATGCTCGGTTGATCTGCATCTTCCCGGGGCGGGCTGCATTTTCCCGCGCGGGAAAGTTGGTGAGGAAGAACCCGGAAGCAACATGGATTGTGCCGTCTTGTTCACCTTCCTCCATCTTGTCCTTTCTCCCTCACCCAAACACTGCCAAAGTACAGTTTGTTACTTAAAATAATTTATATATATATCAATAGATATAGATGTATAAACTACATTTTTTTTCTTAAAAATGCTTTTCTATTTCTCTGTGTTATATACCTCTAGCTCTCTATTTTGGTCAAGATATATAAGTAAAATGATGTCTGAAGTTTTTTTTCTTCTTTTCCTTTTTTTTTTTTGAGACAGAGTCTTGCTCTTGTTGCCCAGGCTGGAGTGCAATGGTGTGATCTTGGCTCACTGCAACCTCCACCTCCCAGGTTCAAGCAATTCTCCTGCCTCAGCCTCCCAAGGAGCTGGGATTACAGGCGCCCACCACCATGCCTGGCTAATTTTTGTATTTTTTTTTTTTTAGTAGAGACAGGGTTTCACCATGTTGGCTAGGGCTGGTCTCCAACTCCTGACCTCGTGATCCGCCCCCCAAGGCCTCCTAAAGAGCTGGGATTACAGGCGAGAGCCACCGCACCTGCCCTCTGAAGTTATTTTCTTCCATCATGATGTGATGTCATAGGATCTAAGGTAATTATTTTATTATTATTCTACTTTACTGAGTAATAAAAATAAAACACCATTAATATTATGGAAACAATATTATTGTTTCTATTAAGAAATTAACTTAGTATCTCTATTGTCCCCTTGAACTAGTCAATAACTTTAATTTCCTACTACTTTTTGTTCCCCCAACTTCCTAACACATCTCTTATTGAAAAGATCTCAGGTTTTACTTTTAAATATGTATTAGTCTTTTCTATAATACATAATTACTTAGATTCTAAATTGATTGCTGTCTGTGCTCAGTATTCCTTGTTCCTGCATCTTTGCTTGTTGCTTCTCTCCGAAAGATTTTAAGATTGTTTCTCTTACTCGGGCTTTTGATGCATTTAGATTGGAGACTACCTTCTCCATCTTGCTTGATAATCAGTTGACTTTTTTTCTTTTCATTTCTTTTTTTTTTTTTTGAGATAGAATCTCGCTTTGTCACCCAAGCTGCAGTGCAGTGGCACAAACAGGGCTGGCTCACTGCAGCCTTGACCTCCCAGGCTCAAGCGATTCTCACACCTCAGCTTCCTGTGTACCTGGGACTATAGATACGTGCCACCATGCCTGGCTAATTTTTTTTTTTTTAATTTTGAAGAGAGGGAGTTTCACCATGTTCCCCAGGATGGTATTGAATTTCTAAGCTCAAGCAATTCGCCTGCTTTGGGCTCTGAAAGTGCTGAGATTACAGGTGTGAGCCATTGTGCCTGGCCCATAATTGGTAGACTTTTCAATGTAAAGAATGATGTGGTCAGTTCTGTGTATTTATGTTGTTAGTTGTAGTAGCAATAGTAGTATCATTATTGGGTTATTGCCTCTATTACATTATTTTTCTTCCTTTGAAATGAGTATTAAAATTTGGATCCATTTTGTCTTTTAATTTTTCTTATGTACTTTATTTTGTACCTTTCCCCTGCATTTTGGAAAAATTGATCAGATTCATCTTCAGCTGCAGCTATTATATTATCCCATTCATTTATTGTGATTTTACTTTTGGCAATCGTTTTCAAGATCTCTAGTTGGTAATATTTTTTACAACCGAGTTATTGATCCATGAGTATGTTAAACTCTCTTATTACTCTGAAGATACTAATACATTTCAAAGTATCATTTTGCATTAGGAACTCTAGTTCCTAGGATGATAGTTCATATGTTTATTGAAGTTGGTGATTCTCTCTCTCTCTCTCTCTCTCTCGCATGTTATTGGTTTTCTTCAAGTGTTTGATGAATCCAGCTTGTCTTTTTATCTTTGTATTTAAGAATGATTACCCTTTCGAACAGTATCATTTTTGTCTTCCTCAGAGTATCTTTAAATTTGTAAAAGAGAAAGAAATGTGATATATGTCGGATTATCCTAATAGCATTGCAAATATGAGGGTTTCTTTATCCTTTTAAATGTAACCAGTTACCCAAAGCCCACCCTGTGTCTCAGGCCTTAGCAGTCAGTTACTGCTTTTTTCTTGGAAAAGAAGCGCATTTTACCCGACGGTTCATTGTCTGACAACAGAGTAAGACATGTGGAGAGAAGATCTCTCTACAAATTACCCTAAAGGTTGCCCTAGGACACTTCCCTGCTTAAGGCTGTATTACATTTGAACGTGGCAAACACACCTACAGAGTCATTTCTTCCTTTTACAACTGTGCTTCCTTTTATAATTATAGAGCTATGATCGCAATAACCAAATCCTGTTTTGTAATATATGTATATATTACAATTGTGATCTATTATAACTTCTCAACAGAAGGGAAGTTTCCCTGTTTTTCAGCAGTGTAACTCATTCATATTGATTAAAACTTTATATATATAATAAAGATAAGTACCTTATATATCATATGCTTATAATTTTACATGTATGTGTACATACATGCATACAGATATATAGTGATTTCTTTTATTTCGAGATAGAATCTCGCTGTGTCACCCAGGCTGGAATGCAGTGGCACAATCTTGGCTCCCTGCAACCTCCGCCTCCTGGTTCAAGAGATTCTCCTGCCTCAGATTCTCCTGAGTAGCTAGAACTACAGGTGTGCGCCACCCCTCCTGGCTAATTTTTTGTATTTTTAATAGGGACGGGTTTTCACCATGTTGGCCAGGGTGGTCTCGAACTATTGATCTCAAGCAATCTGCCCACCTCTCTCTCTCAAAGTGCTAGGATTACAGGCGTGAGCCACCACGCCTGGCCTATAGTGATTTCTAAATGTGTAAAACGTGAGAAGGAGGTAGATATACATCCTCAGTTCACCCTTTGATTTATTCTTACTCTCTATCTCTTTAAGCTGAGATTATAGTCACTTTCTTGTTTTTTTTTTTTAAAGTTGTACTTCATATGGGATATACTTAATAGAAAGACTGTAAGTATATCAGTATTAGAATAATTGAAATTAGACTTATGTGCTTTTAACTTGTTTAAGTCCAGTGTTTAATTTTAGAAGTCTAATGCATTACTGGCATTTCATAAATATTTTATGGCATGTACATTAGTAAAGATATAAATAGCTAATGTCTTATCATAGTTACATTTTACCATGAAAATATTAAATTGTCTATAATAAACCATGTTCTTGAGCATATTCCATTAACTACTTTTCTGGCTATCTCTTTAATGGTGGTGTTGTCAATGCTATGAAATTATCATGAATTTAACCCCATAGGCAGCTATATTTTCCTAGAATTAACTGACCTCAGGATTTATAGAGATAGGAATCCCTTTATCATATGAATTAATTTAGATGGGCTTACTGTTTGCAAAAGAAAGCTTCCGAAAAAGAAAAAAGAATTTGTTTAGAAAAGTTATTGATCAAAATGCAATCTTCCTTTGTAATTTAAGATGTAAAAACCTTATAAGTTGATTTTGTTTTATATAAAAGTTAAATTTTATTCATACTTGTTTTTAAATTGCTGCTTGTCAATGGTTAAAAATGAGTTCTGGCCAGGTGCAGTGGCTCACGCCTGTAATCCCAACACTTTGGGAGGCCAAGGCGGGCGGATCATGTGGTCAGGAGTTCAAGACCAGCCTGACCAACATGGTGAAACCCCGTCTCTACTAAAAATACAAATATTAGCTGGGCATGATGGCACATGCCTGTTGTATCAGCTACTTGGGAGGCTGAGGCAGGAGAATTGCTTGAACCTGGGAGGCGGAGGTTGCAGGGAGCCTAGATGGTGCCACTGCGCTCCAGCCTAGGGACAGAGCAAGACTTCATCTCAAAAAAAAAAAAAAAAAGAGTTCTGAGTGCAATTCTGGTTTTCATAATTCTGAGAACAGTTCCAGAATAGAGTTAAATGTTGACCTTGACAAAACAACTCAGCCTAACTCTCAGTCCCAATGTTTGTGTGTATCTTATTTTGAAATAAACTACAGCATACAACATTGACAAGGTATTTTTTTCAGGGTACTTTATAATCAGTTGAATCAAACACATCACATGGACCCAGGAGAATGAAACTTCTCTGACTTTGAGCTTCTATCTATTACATATACTGGCCATAGATATATCTACTCAGGCAACTGAAAATAAACCTACTTGCTTGGAACCTGGAAAAAAATCATATTTTGTACTAAATGTAGGTTAAGTATGGACCTAATTGAATAAAATCAGATTTAACAAAACTTTATGTTGACCAAGTATAAAAGAATAATAAATTTATTTAAAAAGATAAAAAATGGATACTAAAGTACTCCATGAGTTTAAAATTATTTTTTACCATCTTTCTTCTGTTTAATCTTCATTGTCCAGAGGAATATATACAAAGTTTTACATTTGAAAAATAATTCATATGTTTAACTGAGGAACAGATTGAATTTGAATATTTAACTGGAAACTTGTTCACTAGTACTTACTTCTCATCCATGGCTTCACTTTCCATAGTTTCAGTTACTAGTGGTTAACCACAGTCCAAAAGCATTAAATGGAATATTCCAGAAATCCATAAGTTTTTAATTGTGCACCATTCCGAAAAGCATAATAAAATCTTGCTCCATCTTGCTCAGCATATGAATCATTCCTTTGTCCAGTGTATCCATGCTGTTTACATTAGCTGCCCATCAGTCACTTAGTAGTTGTCTAGGTTATCAGATTAAAAAAACAAAAAGTCCATAGTATATGTGAACTTTGGTACTATCCACAGTTCAATCATCCACTGGCAGTCTTAAAGTATATCTCCCATGCATAAGGGGCGACTACTGTATTTGGCAGCTGACTCTTTCTGAATACATTTTGACAACCTTTTCAGTGGCAGTGTTTATAGCAGAACCAATCATTATACAACACACAATGATCCAACAGCCTGAAAGCTACAGGGCCACTGCCTACCTAGAAGCGAGTAGGTAATTAAATATACAAGTATTATGTGGGAATGTGGTTGTGAAATGTTTTTATCCTTGAGATTGAAACAGATACAACAAAAACAGTTAGAAATGTGCCAGAATCAATGTTTAACCTATTAAATTTAGAATCGGAAAACATAGGTTTCTGCTATTGTTTATTAACTTTGAGGTTTTGGACTTCAGTTTCTTATGTGAAAAGAGATCATCATCATCATAATAATAAAAATGGCAAATTTATTTCAAGGAATGATAACATCAAATGAGTTAATGTACATGAGAGTGTTTTCTAATTAAAAAATTAATAAAATTATTCTCATGTACATTAACTCATTTCTATGTTAAAAAAACATAGAAATCCACATTAATTAATTTTCAGTGGTATGACCCCAAATTAATAGTAAATGAAAAAGTAAACATTATGAAACCAGTTTCACGTATAAAACAGAGGGAATAATTCTCCATCCTTGACTCATAGGCCATGTGTGTTAGTAAAGAATGCGCACATTTGAAAGTGTTCTGAATTGCTACGCCATGGGCCATGTAAACTATCACCTATTTAAAAAATGAAAACAAGATGATTCATTTAACATTCATTCTGTGAAGAGTACTATTTAAAACTGATTTTTCGGGGGGATTTTGTTTTCACTATCTGGG